AAGTTATGACCAACCTAGATAGAATATTAAAAAGCAGAGATATCACTTTGCCAACAAAGGTCCATCTAGTCAAGGCTATCGTTTTTCCAGTGGCCATGTATGGATGTGAGAGTTGGACTGTGAAGAAAGATGAGCGCCGAAGAATTGATGCTTTTGAACTGTGGTGTTGGAGAAGACTCTTGAGAGTCCCTTGGACTGCAAGGAGATCCGATCAGTTCATCCTAAGGGAGATCAGTCCTGGGTGTCCTTTGGAAGGACTGATGCTGAAGCTGAAACTCCAGTACTTTGGCCACCTCATGCGAAGAGTTGACTCATTGTAAAAGACCCTGATGCTAGGAGGGGTTGGGGGCAGAAGGAGGAGGGGACGACAGAGGATGAGATGGCTGGATGACATCACTGACTCGATGGACATGAGTTTGGGTAAACTCCGGGAGCTGGTGATGGACAGGGAGGCCTGGCGTGCTGCAATTCATGGAGTCGCAAAGAGTCGGACACGACTGAGTGACTGAACTGAACTGAACTGATGTGCCCCTTCTTTTACAAAACATTGTAGCCAGGGGAATGGATTCCTCATTGACACAGCCCTCGTCACATCATCATCCCTGTAGCTAGGAGATGAAGGAAATCTCACTTTCATTATATGGACTGAAGATGTATAGGAAGGTGGTTCCTCCAAAAAAAGGAAATAAATAGATAAATAACATACATAAAGACAGAGTTTTTAATCAGAAAGAGAAAATGAATTGTTTGATTGGAAAAACTAATGATGTCCATCAAATAAGTTGGTAATTATAAGTTTTTACATTCTACTCCACCCTTTCTATTCTCTACATCAGCCAGAATGATGTTTGCATCATGTAAATGTCCTGCATCAAATCCTCAATTATGATTTGAAAGTGCAACATCCATATTTGTCAACATGGTCCATAGGCCTTGAATAGTTTAACCTCTTTTTCCTTCTCCAATCTTGTGTTCTTCTGAATAGCACCTGAATCTTTTTTTTTTTTAATTAGTTGGAGGCTAATTACTTTACAATATTGTAGTGGTTTTTTGCCATACATTGACATGAATCAGCCATGGATTTACATGTGTTCCCCATCCCAATCCCCCCTCCCGCCTCCCTCCCCATCCCATCCCTCTGGGTCTTCCCAGTGCACCAGCCCCGAGCACTTGTCTCATGCATCCAACCTGGGCTGGTGATCTGTTTCACCCTTGATAGTATACTTTTTCAATGCTATCCTCTCAGAACATCCCACCCTCGCCTTCTCCCACAGAGTCCAAAAGTCTCTTCTGTACATCTGTGTCTCTTTTTCTGTTTTGCATATAGGGTTATCATTACCATCTTTCTAAATTCCATATATATGTGTTAGTATACTGTATTGGTCTGTATTGGTCTTTCTGGCTTACTTCACTCTGTATAATGGGCTCCAGTTTCATCCATCTCATTAGAACTGATTCAAATGAATTCTTTTTAATGGCTGAGTAATATTGCATAGTGTGTATGTACCATAGCTTCCTTATCCATTCATCTGCTGATAGGTATCTAGGTTGCTTCCATGTCCTGGCTATTATAAACAGTGCTGTGATGAACACTGGGGTGCACGTATCTCTTTCAGATCTGGTTTCCTCGGTGTGTATGCCCAAGAGTTGGATTGCTGGGTCATATGGCAGTTCTATTTCCAGTTTTTTAAGGAATCTCCACACTGTTCTCCATAGCGGCTGTACTAGTTTGCATTCCCACCAACAGTGTAAGAGGGTTCCCTTTTCTCCACACCCTCTCCAGCATTTATTGCTTGTAGACTTTTGGATAGCAGCCATCCTGACTGGAGTGTAATGGTACCTCACTGTGGTTTTGATTTGCATTTCTCTGATAATGAGTGATGTTGAGCATCTTTTCATGTGTTTTTTTGCCATCTGTATGTCTTCCTTGGAGAAATGCCTGTTTAGTTCTTTGGCCCATTTTTTGATTCGGTCATTTATTTTTTCTGGAATTGAGCTGCAGGAGTTGCTTGTATATTTTTGAGATTAATCCTTTGTCTGTTGCTTCATTTGCTATTATTTTCTCCCATTCTGAAGACTGTCTTTTCACCTTGTGTATAGTTTCTTTTGTTGTGCAAAAGCTTTTAAGTTTAATTAGGTCCCATTTGTTTATTTTTGCTTTTATTTCCAATATTCTGGGAGGTGGGTCATAGAGGATCCTGCTGTGATTTATGTCAGAGAGTGTTTTGCCTATGTTCTCCTCTAGGTGTTTTATAGTTTCTGGTCTTACATTTAGATCTTTAATCCATTTTGAGTTTATTTTTGTGTATGGTTAGAAAGTGTTCTAGTTTCATTCTTTTACAAGTGGTTGACCAGTTTTCCTAGCACCACTTGTTAAAGAGGTTGTCTTTTTTCCATTTATATTCTTGCCTCCTTTGTCAAAGATAAGGTGTCTGTAGGTACGTGGATTTATCTCTGAGCTTTCTATGTTGTTCCATTGATCTATATCTCTGTCTTTATGCCAGTACTGTACTGTCTTGATGACTGTGGCTTTGTAGTAGAGCCTGAAGTCAGACAGGTTGATTCCTCCAGTTCCATTCTTCTTTCTCAAGATTGCTTTGGCTATTCGAGGTTTTTTTGTATTTCCATACAAATTGTGAAATTATTTGTTCTAGTTCTGTGAAAAATACCATTGGTAGCTTGATAGGGATTACACTGAATCTATAGATTGCTTTGGGTAATACAGTCATTTTCATAATATTGATTCTTCCAATCCATGTACACGGTATATTTCTCCATCTGTTTGTGTCCTCTTTGATTTCTTTCATCAGTGTTTTATAGTTTTCTATATATAGGTCTTTCTTTTCTTTAGGTAGATATACTCCTAAGTATTTCATTCTTTTTGTTGCAATGGTGAATGGTATTGTTTCCTTAATTTCTCTTTCTGTTTTCTCATTGTTAGTGTATAGGAATGCAAGGGATTTCTGTGTGTTAATTTTATATCCTGCAACATTACTGTATTCATTGATTAGCTCTGGTAATTTTCTGGTAAAATCTTTAGGCTTTTCTATGTAGAGGATAATGTCATCTGCAAACAGTGAGAGCTTTACTTCTTCTTTTCCTGTCTGGATTCCTTTTATTTCTTTTTCTGCTCTGATTGCTGTGGCCAACACTTCCAAAACTTTGTTAAATAGTAGTGCACCTGAATCTTTTTAAGGTTTTTGAAAATGCACACTCAGTCCTGCCTCAGGAGTTTTCACGCTCCTTCCCTTTTGCTTAGACAGCTAGTATTCTCCTTCCTCATTTAACCTGCCTTAATCCCTGCTCTCCTACATGCCCTCGTCATGTGCACACATGCACTTGCCTGGCTAAGAGCTACTCATTTTTCTAGCATCAGTTCAAATGAACTGCTTAAGCACCACCTCATAGATCTCATAGATAGCACTTATTTTCTTCCAAATATTACCACATTTATCACATCTATCAGTGTGTGTGTGTGTGTGTGTGTGTGTGTGTGTGTGTGTGTGTGTGTTTGATTTTGCTGTTTTTCGTATAAAATGTAAGATCTCAAGGCTGAAATGAAGAGTTTTAGATTCATTACTAACACCACGATATCTGACGTCTCGCAGAGAGTAAATATAAATGAATAAATGTTTCTTGAAAATATAAAAATGAATAAATAGATATGGAGTATAATTTCACTTGAATGTGAGATGTTAAGAGTTTGGAACTTCTGGTGTCAAAGAGAATGGAAAGATGAAGGAAGATATGAGAAAATTTCAAGAAGGTCAACTCAACATAGTATACTGACCTGAGTACTACTTTTTTTTTTTTGGCTTTTATTCTTTGATTAAATTTGAAAGCAGTTTTATTCCTTGATTAAATTTGAAAGCATTTAATTTAGATTTTATAAAGACAGAATATAGTCAATGGTTTGTGTTTATGGCAAAGTAACTAGTAACAGAAAGAAATTAAAGATTTTTAAAATTTAAAAATATTTCAGAAAATGATCAAAATTTTATTATTTACATTTAAAATCCACATACTTCCAAGAGATATTTGAAGTTTCAAGAAAATATATTTCCACTAGGTTAAAAGTTTCCAAAGGGTCCTATCATTTGATATATAATGATTTTATCAAAATGTGACCTAGATGAGTTCATTCTACACTTTTTTGAGATTATGAGCTTGATGAGTTGCTTACTAAATTTCACTTTTTGAATAAAGGCCAACCAAACTATTATTTTGATTTCATTTACCACTGGAAAGCTTAAATGTCAAAATAAATTAAAGAAAATTTTGATGTTATTGAATAAGAAAAGTATATCTCACACTCTATACATAGTATTTCCTGAAATTGAATCCTACAGAAGTTTTTTAGCAAAATATTAATTTTAATTCTAGTAAAGCTAATGCTTCTCAATGAATATATTCTCAATAATACTGATTAAAAAACACTTAATCCATGAAATGTGTAAAGTCACTGTTATATAAAAGATAAAGCAAAATTTTACCTTATTCCTAATGGTATAAAGTAAAAAAGACACAAACAGAATTGTGGGAGTTGATTTAACATGTTTTTAAAACTCTCTAACATTTTAAAAAGTCAAATTTAAAATTATACTCATGAAAGTTTTCATCCATAAGAATACAGTCAATTGAATTGCACTCCAGCCTATTAACTGCTGTAGAAAATTTTATAGCAGATGTAATGTATATCTAAGGTATCAATTTAACTTATGGGAATATTAGCTGAAATTATGAAAACTTTGCAGACTATACATGCATGTAAAAAGTAGACTTTTAGGTTAGCTTATTTATTTATTTAGATTAATAATATTTAAATATGAACTTGAACCAGTATGCAACAATTTATATATATTTAAGAGTATGTATATTTTTGCATTTGTCATTTCATGACAATTTTCTTTTTCTTTCAGACTCTTGAAATACTGACTGGAAGATAGACATTTCCTTTCCAGCTGATTGTATGGGAGAAATTTTGACCTTAGAAAGTGGAAATGAGGTTGCTATGGAAACTGGTAATTCTGATGTCACTCATAAACATTTCCGCAGGTAAAGTGTTCTATTATTATGAGTTCTGATTGATAATCTATTGGCATTTTATTTTTTCTACAGGTGAAGCAATTTTCAAATACATAATATAGGGTTGGCAAAAAAGTTTTTTCATGTTTTCCCATAACATCTTACAGAAAAACCCAAAAGAACTTTTTGTCCAATCTAATACTTACATTATATAAGTGACTAAATGATAAAATTTTGAAGGTAACCTCTATGGTTAATATAAAGTTTAATCCTTAAAACATTAAATCAAGTGCCATTTTTAAACAGAACAAAGATGATTTCAGTTATAAATCGTCAACTATGAAATTTTTATAGTAAAAGGAAGTAAAAATAAAATTAAGTAAATTTTGTCATCAATAAACAATGAAGAATATTTTTTTTTGTTTGTCTCCTTTAGAGTGGTCTTAAAAAGTGAATAAGAAATATATATATTTTCCTCAAATGTCGAATCTGGTATGGATTAAAGGCTATATCAGTATAGAAGAAAAGGTAACATAGAATGTCACATCAGAAGTAGTGTTTAGTGTTTAGTTTTTTTCCCTACCCATTTCAATGATACATTCTTTTATTCACCCTAACTATGAAGTCTGTGTATCAGCTAGCTTTTGTCATGCAACAAATCATCACAAATCTGAATGGATGAAAATAACAAATAACCATGTATTTAGTTGAAAAGTCTACAGATGGGCAATTTCAAGTGGGCTCAACTGGGCTATTCTTTTGACTTTGCCCGAGTGCTATACATCTGTGGTTAACCTACTGTGTCATCTGGGATCTGGCTAGTCTGGTAATAGAGACCACTGGGCTGTCTCTGCCCCAGGCCAAGTGTTCATTCATCCTCTCTAAGTCTGAGGTCCTTCATACATTGTCTGCTCAAAACTCCAAGAGAAATCAGAAGTATGCAAAATGTTTTAATGTTAAAACTTGCAACTGACACAATGCTATTTCTGCTGCATTCTTTTAACCATTCCCTGTCAAACTATCAGTCCAGATTCAAGAAATATAAAAATATACTCCATCTCTTGATAGAAAAAACACAAAATTACACTGCAAAGGGGCATGGAAACAGTAAAGTAGATAATAGTGACTAACTTTGGATGTAATCAACCATAGTTTTATTAAGAACACAGAATTCTATTCTGAATTTTCAAGCTTACCTATGTGAGTTGCCACACAGCATGGACACTTTCTCAGTCATCTAATTGTCAGAGCAACTCTTCTATAAAAATATACTGTTTCCCAGCAACTGTAGCAGTGGGTACTACTGAAGTTTCCCATATTCATAACAAAGCCCTAATATTTTAGGAGAAACATAGGAACAAAAATAGTAACACAAGTCAGAAACATGGTAATTTTAAGAGGTGAATATTCAAAGACAATTCTAAGAAGTGGAAACATTTCTGATTTTAAAAAGTATGAAAAGGTTAAAATATGCAAAACACAACCATTAGAATCAGAGAAACATGCAAATAAAGATATTTTTACTACTAGAGAATACAATGGCTAGAAGTGCTATCATTGTATTTATTCCAAGTTATTACATTATTTTGATTCATAGCACTTCTAATTCTCTGTAACAAAGAATCAGAGTTAAATAATATCTTTTGTAATAGATGAAAATACCAGAATCATCAAGATGCCCCCAAATTATACATATGTGAATAAAAATTATATTCTTATCCTCCAGTTTCAGTTTCCTGTCAAAATTTAACATTAATATTTTACCCTTTAAATATCTATACTGAATCAGCATAGTATATCTAGAAGACCTTTTATGTTAAATTAAAATAAATTATTATTCTCAGAGCATGAATCATCTGAGAGATCTTCCAGTTCTTCTGTTACGTTTTATTTTTCCAAGTTGGATGTGATTCAACATGTCCTTTTGCTTTATCCTAAAGGGAAAAATAATCATGCATCCTTGGTGTACAATTTTCTTGTGAAAGAACAGATTGTATCTTTTTTTAAACCACAGCTATTTAAATAAGATAATCTGAGCTAAACATTGCCACAGAGGTAAGAATGCTGACAATCATATACACAAGAGGGCTCTGCTTTAAATCTGTTTGTTTTGTTTTATTTTAAAATTTCATGGTGTATCTCCCTACTTGCAGATACTATATACTATGTTAGTTTAGAAAATTCACTTCTCTAATGATGCAGTGTTATTTCTACAAACACACACACACACACAATCACACACATATAATAACTTTTTTGTTTTCCAAAAATTGATTTTGATTCATTCTGAAAGACCAGCAAATCTTTCACAATTATGTGCATTTTCCATCCTATTTTTCTGTTACAATCTTTTCAAAACACTGACTTTTTAAATCTCTCCAAATTCTAAACTAAAATTTAAAATTTTACCCTTATCTCTTCTCCTATTTGTTGTTGTTGTTGTTGTTAATTAACTGTATCTAACCCCATTACTATGGACATTGGCTATGGACATTTAAATTTTTATGATGAACCATAATCTACCCAGGCGTACACTATGGTTCTGGAAAATTTTTGAAAATATGGGTATTTAAAAGTTCTAGTATTCTATTTTAGTATTCTTTTTAATATTATGAGACAACCATTTAATTCAGAAACATGATTGCTAATTACATGTGAAAGTCACTCAGTCATATCTGACTCATTATAACTGCATGGACTATACAGTCCATGGAATTCTCCAGGCCAGAATATCGGAGTGGGAAGCCATTCACTTCAGGGAATCTTCTCAACTCAGGGATTGAATTCAGGTCTCCCACATTGCAGATGGATTCTTTACCAGCTGAGACATCAGGGTTTTTAATCACTTCATTAATGTGTGTGGTCGACTAAATAATTGTCCTCATGGATATCTAGTACCTAGTATTTGAAACTTGTGACTTTCACATTAAGTAACAAAATGGATTTTGCAGATGGAATTAAGTTAAAGATCTTGAGATGGATAGACTATCCTGGAATAACTATGTAGGAAATCACAAATGCTCCTGTAAAATGGTGACAAAGGGAATTTGGCACAGAGCAGAAGGCAATAAGATGAAAGAGGAGAAAGAGACATGAGATCTTAGTATATATAGGAAGGGACCATGAGCCAAGAAACAAAGCTCGAGAAGCTAGAAAGGCAAGGAAACAGGTATTTTCTCTTTGAAGAAAAAATACATTGGTCTCCATCCTATGAAATCCATTTCGAACTTGGGACTTCCAGAAATGTGAGAAAATAAATGTGTGTTGTTCTAAGTCACCAAGTTGTAATTTTTAGAGAACCCATATGAAACTAATGTAATATGTTTCTTCCTCACTAAACTTTAAGCTCCAGAAGAGCTGGGACTGTATGTTCCTGGCATGTGGTAGGGATTCAGTAAATAGTGTTAGATGAACAAATGAATGAATTAGATTCAATGTTATTGGTCCTATTTGGATTATCATCAAGTAGAAAAAATTGTCATGAATGTTCCCATGTTTTGATGTCTTGTCATAGAATTTTAGAGATGGAACTCTAGCAACACTTGAAAGTTTCAAACTATGCCCTATTTGAATGTAAACTTCATGAGAGGAAGTTTACATGAAGATGAAATATATGAAGATATGTTTCATACTCTGCTGTTTCTCCACCACCTAACAGATGGTTTGCAAATATTTATCAAATTAATTAAATAAAGCAGTTCTACTCCACTCAATTCAACAGATAGTTTTAGTACCTTAGATATGCCAGGCACTGAACTAGATGTTGACTTTCACCAGTAAAAGAGGGCCATGGTCTCTGTCTTCTTCAGCATTCAGCCTAAAAATGGAATTCAGCAAGTCAGTCAATGATTTCATTAGAGAAAGTATAGCTTGCTATTTGAATATCATAGTAGAGAGCATATAACATGGAAATGTTCTAAGAGGACATCTGCTGTTTTTGTCAACCTTCAATCCATTTCTGCTTCCTCTGAAAAAAATATATTAGATTTTCCTTAGCAATCCACTATTTTCTAACAGTCTTTGTAGTTGGAATGAGAGTACATAACTTCGTAGTCAGCCAATTGGTATATCCCATCCTCATTCACCATAGTATTTGGTTCAGGAAATATTATATCTGAACAAATCCTTGGGCATTTGCTAAAATGAAATGACATAAAGTCATCACATTTGTGCTGTTCTAGTTAACTCATTAGAAAAGATCTTGATGCTGGGAAAGATTGAAGGCAAAAGGAGAAGGGGGTGGTGGAGGTTGAGACAGATAGCATCACGGGCATAATGAATATGAATTTGGGCAAATTCAGGGCTATAGTAGAAGACAGAGAATAATGGCATGCTACAGTCCATGGGGTCACAGAGTTGGAAACAACTTAGCGACTGCACAGCAAGGACGGTTAATACAGAGATGTACCAGGGACAGCTCTGACAGAAAAACTGGCCTAGAAATGAAATTCACACAGATGCAGAACAAACCAAGGGAATAAGGGAATCATTTCTTAATTTTACCTTTGAAACTTTAAGTACCAGGTGTCTTTTTCCTATTTTATGCTAAGCTCCATTGAAATTCTGTCCCTTAATGAAAAGAATCTTCTCTGATAAGGTCAAAATTGTCTTTAATGTAAATTAGTGATGATAAGTGAAGTTCTATTAGCAATAGAAAGTCTTTGGGGATTAATGCCTACTCCCTGCTGGGAATGAGGAACAGAGCAAATATAAAGATGAAGAAAAGGCACAATTTTTTTCCTGGAGAATAAAAAGAATCAAGAGACTTTATATGGACTCAAGGCAAACCATTCAATATCACAGTAATCCAAGTCTATGCCCCAACCACTAATGTCAAAGAACCTGAAGTTGAAAAGTTCTATGAAGACCTACAAGATCATATAAAACTAACACCCCCAAAAGATATGATTTTCATCATAGGGGACTGGAATGCAAAAGTAGGAAGTCAAGAGATACCTGGAATTACAGGCAAATTTGGGCTTGGAGTACAGAATGAAGCAGGGCAAAAATTAACAGAGTTTTGCCAAGAG